CAGTTTCTTCATTGCATTTTTTACTTCTGCATTTCTCAGTGTATAAATCAGGGGGTTTAACATGGGGGTGATAATGGTGAAAAATACAGCCACCATCTTATCCTCAGAAAAGGTAGTATTAGGGCGCATGTACATGAAAGTACAGGGAGCAAAAAAGATGATGACCACAGCAATGTGGGAGCCACAAGTGGAGAGAGCTTTGCACCTGCCTTCTGCTGACTGCTTTCTCAGGGACACCAGGATGACAGTGTAGGAGATTAACAAGATAACAAAGCTCCCCAGAGCAATGGTCCCACTGTTGGCTGTCACAACAACACCAACAACATACGTGTCTGTGCAGGCTAGTTCCAGCACAGGGTGGACATCGCAAAAGTAGTGATCAATCACATTGGGCCCACAAAAGGGTAGCTGGACCACCAACGTCACCTGGATAATGGAGTGTAAAAACCCACCTACCCAGGTCCCCAACAACATTTTATTGCATCTGTCCCGGTCCACGATGGTCATATAGTGTAGGGGTTTACAGATGGCCACATACCGATCATAGGCCATTACGGTAAGGATGAAGATCTCAGTACAACCAAAGAAATGTACTCCAAAGAGTTGCAACATGCACCCCACGTAAGAGATAGTTTTACTCTTGGCTAATAGGTCAACAATCATCTTGGGAGTTGTAAATGAGGAGTAACAGATATCCACAAAAGACAAATAATTGAGAAAGAAATACATAGGAGACTTGAAAAGGTTGCCCACACACACTGCCAGCATGATGAGAAGGTTTGCCAGAAGAATAACTGTATAGAACAAAGAAAACACCACGAAACAAACTTTTGCCACCTCTGGGTTCTGAGAAAGTCCCCAGAAAATGAACTCGGTTACATTGTTTATTTTTTCCATGGAATTAATCCAGCAGGAAGTTCCAGAGAGACAATTAAAATGCCTGAAAAAAATTAAAAAAGGACCAATAGCATTATTTCTATTGTAGAAAAAAATCGATAATCATAGTAGTTGAAAATAGGTATTTACTGCTGTAGGAGAAATTGAAGTATATACATTCTGACCAACTTACCTCCATACAACAGTCCATTCATTCACTTAGGTGAGGAAAAAATGTCCAGAGATATCAAACAAATCTAAGTCACCCATCGAGCCAAGAGTTCCATCTCTCTGGCTATTAAGATTTATGCATCTGTTTGCTTTTAAACATTTGCTTAATTCTTATTCTGTATAAGCACTAAACCTGATTTTGAAACAACTCCTGTGTTTGGGATCCCTGGCTGGTGCAAACCGTTAACATGCTCAGCTACTAACTGAAAGATTGGAGATTCAAGTCTACTCAGAAGCACCTTGGAAAAAAGGCCTGGCAATCTACTTTCAAAAATCCAGCTGTTGAAAACACTTACGTAGCAAAAAATGTCTGCCTTGAGCATTATGCTCTTTTAAGAACTATGGGACCAAACTGACAACAGCAATTTGAAAGATTAGATAGGAAACTTGGGGGGCAGTGAGTTTATATTCTTGGGGGAAGAACAAGTCAGAAAAGGAGAGTGAGAATGGTTGCACAACTCTAAAAATGTAATCAATGTCACTAAATTGTACATGTAGATACTGGTGAATTGGTATATGTTTTGCTGTGTATATTCTCAACAACTACAACAAAAAAAGTAAATAAAATTAAAAACCAGTCAAAACAAAACAAAAAACCCCTCTGGAGCACAATTCTACTCTGACACTCATAGGGTCACCATAAGTTGGAATCCACTCTATGGCAACTGGTTGGTCTGTGTTTGGGGACATGGTAACACTTGTATATCTGGAGAAGTTCACCTTCTGTCTGACACAGAAATGAAAACATAAGCCTACAATTTCCCTTCTGCATGTGCACCTGTCTGTACCTCTCATTCATCAGTGAGCTCAAGTAGTAGAGACTGGGTGACCTCGACAGGTTCTCCTACTTATGAAGTTTGGATATTCATGTGCATGTGTTTATACTCTCCCACTTGATCTCCAGCTCTTCACAGTCAGGAAGCGGTGTCGTGTAGTAGGAAGAGGAACAAAACTATACAAATCTGACTCTTAGATAATGGGACTGTTGTTGCTGTTAGGTGCCCTTGAGTTGATTTTCCACTCATAGAGATTCCATGTGTTATAACCTTGGGTAAATCATTTAAATTCATGGGGCTTCTGTTTCCCTATTTGTGAAATGAAAACATTTCTATTTCACTATCTTTTGTATCATTCGAAGAGTTATTTCTACCATGAAATGAAAACAGTCTGTTGGCTTCGAATAGCCACATAACCCCCGGACAGGGAGGCAGAGAAAGAGAAGATAAAACAATAAAAGAAATCTGCTGGAGAAAAAGCAAGACCTGTTTGAGTTGAAAGGAGGTAAAGTGAAGTCTCAGGTAATTTCTTCTTTTTCAAACTCAGAGTGTTTGAGGATTCCCCAGGTTTCATTTTTCCTTGGTATTTCGATCATTTGTTAACCAGGAGGGGTAGGATTTCAGGTGTGGAGGGCAGAACCCTGCCCTTCAATCTCACCACTTCATCATGCATTCTTTTGACCCTTCAAGTTTCATCATAGATAATATTAGTTCTATCAGTATGGGTGGAAAGATGAGCAGCAATATCACTCATACTGAAGAATTAAATGTTGATAGAAAACGTTATCACCGAAAGAGAATTTAAATGGGTTTAGAAAGAAGTCAATATTGAATTTAAATGAAGTATCTTCAGTAGTGGAAACTGACGCACACTAGTGTATCACTGGAGTTCGAATGGAAAAGGGTATGTGGGATTGTTTTGGTTAAACGGGTTTTTATGGTGCTTCCTCAAATCAAGCAATAGATGGAAATTATTTCTCTAACTACAGGTTAGGCTAGGTTTACACAGTATCTTAGGTAATCATTAGGAACTCTGTCTACCTGAGGCCATATATCCTCAAGATCCCCGTTTTGTGTCTATAGCTCTTACTGAGCTCTGTGCTCTCTGCTATTCCTTTGTGGCAACATTGTACCTGGCACCCATTTTAGGAATATGGAGCTATGTCCTCATATAAATTAAAGTTGTTGGAGTCGCCATTACAGGTGTGCCTTCTCTTATGCAATACAAAATAATGATAATAATAACAGCAATAATGATAATAATAATATAATTCAGATTCAGTGCTTAAGTACCTTCCTCTAGTTATGAGTGTTGAATTCCCTTTGGTTTTTCCTTCTGATTAAAAAATAATGATATTTACTATTATTTTCCCTAAGACAGCCTGATTTAAGGGAGTGCAAATCATAGCAGTATTTGACAACCGTGAATTATATTACTTGTAACTTACCCAGCAAAAACTGGGCATTTAGGTACAGGCCTGAATTGTGAGGCCATTGTCTATATCATAAGGGCCTAGAGGAGTCCTGTTTTCTCCTTGAATCAATACCCATTTCAAAGGATTCCTTCCTCCCTTTTCTGTGTGTTTCAAACATGATAACCCCTTGTTTCCTTTTGTGAAATGTTAAAGCTTTTGATTGACTATTTCTTACTCATATTCATGCTACCCTAACTCATAGTCATATATAGATACACTTTATTATCTTATTATCATCATCTTAATAATTTAATTCTCCCCTTACATTGGAGAACAGTGTCTTACAAATATACTAAAGGTGCTCAAAATAGAGAAATTTGATTGAATTCTCATTTTCCACAAACCTTCTATGTAAATAAATTGGTTTTCGGAAAAAAAAAAAAAATACTCACTAGTATTTTCCAAGGCTTGTATTTTGTTTTATTTTTCTATCTCTTCTTGAGATAGTATGGGGGCTGCCTTAGGAATTGCCTTGTGAATAATTAGTGCCAGAGTGTCTCTGACCCCAAAAACTCAATGGCTGATAGAAGTCAGTCTTCGCTGCTCCCGGTTCTGTCTCTCGCTTACTGAAATCTGCCATTTCACAGGATCCTTTGTGACAAAAGCTCTTTCTCTACTTCTCATAAGACCTGTTTAAAGAGGATGATGCAAAATGTTAATGACCTTTGGGAAAGTCTTTCCCCAAAGTCTTCCTCCTTAGTCAGAGCTTCAGTAAAGACCTAACAATGAGCTTCAATATCCAGATGTCTTTCCACTTCTTAAAAAAATTTTTAAAAAAACAAAATAAAACACTCTTTGCTAAATTTGAAGCCCAATCAATTCTCTTTGACTTTTCCAGCTTTTAGAGGTAACCCGCATTCCTTGGCTCATGGTCTCCTTTCTTCATCATCAAAACCAGAAGTGTAGCATCTTAAAATCTCTCTCTGATCCTGACCTCCTCTTTTACCTCCTACTTTAACCTTAAAGAACCCTTGTGATTACACTGGACTTACCTGGATTATCCAAGGTAATATCCTTATTTTAAATCGAGCAGATTACAACCTTAATTCCATCTATAGCTTTAATCCTGCCTCTGTAGAATAACAACATATTCACAGCTTTTGAGGCTTAGGACATAGATTTTTGGGGAGTCCATTAGTCTGCTTAACAGAGTTAGTTAGCTACTTAGTAATTGGATGGGAAAGTCACTCTACCTTCTTTTTTTTCCATATTGTAAAAAGCATTTTATAATCTAGGAGATGTCTGATAATATGTTTTGAGAAAAATGCTATTTACTATATGTAAATAATTGAGTATTAATGTCCAGATCTTATACACAAAGGACAGCAATATGAATGAGGGAAGACTGTCAGATAAGAAGAATATTCTCTGGACGGAAAAAGACAGTCACATACATATGTAGAATAAGAGTAAGTTAATAAAGACAAAAGGACATCATGTTTGGTAAAGGAGAAAGTCAACAAAAATGAGGGAAACTCTCAATGAGATGGATTGACACAGCAGCGACAAAAATGGACTCAAACATACCAATGATAATGAAGATGGCCCAGAACTGGGCAATGTTTTGTTCTGTTATATAAAGATGCTGTGATGGTTAAGGGTGTGTGTCAACTTGGCTGGGCCATGATTCACAGTGGTTTGGTAGTTATGATCTAGTTTGGCAGCTATGTAAT